GGGGGCGCGCGTAATATGAAGTAGGTGCAAGTGAGGATTGAGTCAAAATTAGAGCTCCATCTGGGCACCTTTCAGGTCGAGGGCAGCATCTTTTCAGGTCCGTCCAATTTCTGAATACCTGAGATGGCTCGGTGTGGCCCACTGGATCGGTGAAGGAAAAGCCATCCACTTCAGGTCTGCAGCAACCGGTCCGGCCGGTATAAAGTAGTACGAAGTTAGTATAAAGTTAGTAGTACTATAAACCCTGTGGCCCATAAAAGAGAGAAAATCGAGGGGACCTTGCGACCCATCAAAGAGAGAAAAAGGAGAGTTTCCAAAAATTATATTCTGCATCGCAACCTGGGCTTACAGAAAAAGAAAAGAAAAAAAAGGAGAATTTTAAAATAAGAACGTGTTGTTTGCAATTGTCCGTTGCATTCCCCACCAGTATGGCAAGAGCTGTGCTGGTTTCCAGTGCAGTTGTACAAATTCCGTGTTGTATTTTTTTTTGCTCCCCCCCAAACCACTAGTACTCCCGTTCGCTGGCAAAGTCTAAATAAAATAATATAACCTATAGGTCCTATACCGCATTCTTCAAAGACGCAGCACCACTGAATCAAAACGGCTGGCGGCGGCAGCGAAATCAAAAGAAAAACGGTCGTGCTGGCGCTTCGCCAAAGCCTGGTGCGAAGTTCTACTCCACCTCTGAGTCAGCAAAAGGAGACTCCAAGTTTAGCCTAGTGGTGGTTTTGCATCCTCCTGCAGCAGCAATCGCCTTGTTAAAAAACTACCCGACTTCCATCCCAAACATCGACGCACCACAACCGTTACGAAGCAATCCCCTTGTTTAAAAATTACCTGACTTCCGTACTAACATAGTAGTACCAATCCTCGAGTTGTGTTCAACAGTTCAACCTACCACCGGTACCACCAGGCCCGCTGGCATTCCACTGTGGGCCAAGCTTTGCTGACCAGTGACACACTTCTTCTCCTTTTCGCCTGCCATCGTGGTCCGGTAGCCCCGAGCCTCCAAGAATTTACGAGTGAGGCATGAAGAAATCTTATTAGGCTGGGGCAATGCACTAACTATCTGTTTCATCTTTCGAAGCGTCCTCCTCCTTCACTACTAGACTGTTGAACTTTCGTCTCTTCAAGTGGACGCTCAACCTAAGCTCTGTTCAATATGACTGCTGCTTCTGAGTTGCAAATATCTCCCCCGCCCGAGCAGGAGACTTCCCACTCTTTCATTGTGATGCAGCTGTGTTGCCTGGGTACTGCAGCACACACTCACTACTGCTTGTATTGGGTGCCATGAGCCCGGAAATATCCAAGGCCGTCATGTGCCCAGGTGGACGTGTTGTGACACTCTGTGTGTGTGTGTGTGTGTGTGTGTGTGTGTGTGTGTGTGTGTGTGTGTGTGTGTGTGTGTGTGTGTGATCAAAACATATTCAATCCCATTACAGACGACGAAAGACCTTGAGTTCAGATAATCCAACACCTCTATAGCAAGCAACATGGGAGTTCAATAGAGGCATGTCAACCCCTTTCTTAATAGTGTTCACGTTTGCTTTCTTTGGGGTACCCCTTTCACTTGTTCTTGCAGCTCCCCCTCTACCGTGCCTCTCATGTACAAGTATAGCCACGTTGATTGTGGTTGAGCGGTTTGGGTGTGGGTTGCATAAGATACGGAGCCGCCTTTGCCTATGGTAAATGCCTATGGTAAATGCCTATGGTAAATGCCTGTGGTAAAAGCCTGTGGTAAGAGCCTGTGGTAAATGCCTATGGTAAATGCCTACGGTAAATGCCTGTGGTAAATGCCTATGGTAAATGCCTATGTCGTTGCCTATGGTAAATGCCTATCCTAAATGCCTATGGTAAATGGCCATCTCTACAGACTGGACAGGACCGGTTCGGGTGTGTGGACTGTGGAAGCACCGCATCCAATTTTCGCAGTCACAGTTACTCTGCCTCAAATGGCATGTCGTAGACAGATGTCACAGACCACATGGCTCCTGCATGCTAGGAACACAGAGGCATGTAAACCGCAATTGTAGAGGCATATTGCGGATCCAACCGCTGTCTACAAATTGGACACGACATGCCAGGGTGCCGTACATGAGTGCAGTGTAGACTGTCATCATACGTATGAAGACAAAAGCTCGCCCGAGGTACCCCTTCATAATCCTCACGGCATAAGGCATGTGAACCACATGCTAGCTGAACCTCCAGTGGGTGTCACATGCTAGCTGAATCTCCGGCGGGTCGTCAGCGGCTCCTCAGTATTTATTCCTTCTCTATGCATAGACGACGACGGGGGAGATTGATCCAAAGCAAGGGTGTTCAGCTGCTGCAGGATTTGGTCAGCAACAGCGCGCCCTGGTGGAGACGACCTATCCGTACATCGCTCTGTCGGTGCTTCGTATGGTAATCTATTTTCCTCCTCAGGCTGATGTGCTCATCGTTCATCAGGCAAGGAAGAAGTGATCCCGGCGGAGGCTGCAGTAGGTGTACGATCAACGCTGCACATGGGCCATGCTAGGAGAGGATGTGGCCGATGATGGTACCAGGAATAGTCCTCCCAGAAGAGACACATCCTTTCTATGACAGCTTCCTAAAAGCATTGACGACATACGCCATGTTGCTGACATGTCATCCGCAAAGAAGGGGGTGACTTGCGCAATGATTTAAGCATGGAAGATCAAGGCCACAACCGCATG